GGAGGGATGCATAAAATGAGCATAGTTCGGGGATCGTGGCAAGGCACAGGCGTGATCGTACAACTCCTCACTTTTTATGACTATGTTTCTGGGATACTCTGATATTCTACATTTTGAAAACAAGTTTGTAATAACTAATGGTTTTTAGGTTTTTTAAAAAGTTTTAAATTGGCTTGAATTTTTGGGTGTTACATAATCGCCGATTAATCCCTGCTGAGTTCAACTAATAGCTTAATGGTAGTCGGCCGCCGAGCTACTGCTGAGCGATTTTCACAACCATGTTTTTAAGTACTAAGATATAAATGAAATAAGAGTAAATTGAGTATGATTAGAAGTGGTTAAGTCTTATTTTATAATATAACATCAATTCAAAATTATTTGGACATGTTTGAGATTTAATAAAGTGAGGTTTAGTGGTCCAAAAAAATGCACATACCAATGTCCCATGACATTGATCAAGAGTCCTAAGTGGTGGACCTTCCAAATGTTTCTGGTCTATTCACTCTTATATGAATGCCAAATGTTTAGTATGCTCCGTGATACGCTGATTAGAGTCCCATGATGTTATGTGGGACACTGATGATTTTTTTTCTTAGTACTTTTCAAATGTTAGGAACTAATTAGAATAAGATATTTAGGGCTAGAATAGATGTTTTTAGATGGTTTTAAGTGTTAATAAACAATTAATTATTCATTATAAATGATTATTATGTGCATATCTTATATTTGATTTGTTCGTAAGCATTATGTCAAGTAACTACCGAATACAAGTCTCTTATATAACTATAGATGATTTTTATGATTTGAACTATCAATGATATTTGCATATCTTATATTTGATTTGAATACTATATTTTTATCTATGTATATTGGAAAAAATGATATTCTGAAATTTATTTGATTATGATTAAATGACTATGATATTTTGGAAACATTTTTCTCATGAAGTTATCTATCCACTTAGGTTGGGTGAGGACTTGAATGTCCAATAAAATCCATGGTAAAATGAAGGAATTGGCGACCAATGATAAAATACCATTACATTCACGAATATGATATTTTGGGAAGTATTTTGATTATGATTTAATGACTATGATATTTTGGAAATATTTTTCCTCATGAAGTTGTACATCTACTAAAATGAAGAAACTGATAAAAGACCATTGTCTTAATGATGGTATTCTAGATTTACACTCTATTGTTTATGTAGGATCGCTACCTCGTGTATGGTACATGTGATGATACCATACCCTATTAAAATGCATAAATAAGAAGTAATGTATAATAGGCTTTGCACTAATTATAGATAGACATTAATGATGTATCACATGATAAATAAGTAGTGAGAATTAGTGGTGAGTTGACTTGGGAAATGGTTATAAGTTTACTGTATTCGTTCTACTTATATCATATTTATAAATGGTGTTTATTATTAATTCTACATGTATTTGTTCTACTTATGTCATATTTATAAATGCTTGACCCGTACTCACAAATGATATCTAATTTAAGTGTTCATAGAATACTAGACTGTCTAATTTAAGTGTTCATAAAATACTAGACTCCTAAATCCTACATGTAATTAATGTAAGTTAAACTCAATCAACGTAACATATTCAAAACATCAAAAAAAAACAGTTACTCATGACAAGTCTCATATACAAAACTTTTTACGAGAGTCAACTCTCTAAAAATAGTTAAAACTTAACACAAATGATATATGTACCCGTCTCAAACGTAGTAGGGTTTACATGGATTATGTAAATGTGTATTGCATATTACAAAACTATGTAAATGCAAAAGTCAACATTTTTTTTTGTAAAAACAACTTCAAATCCTTATTTCTTAACTAATTCCCACTTATACTTCATACATGACCATTTAAGTCCTCCGTCATAAACATATAATCATGAATTTAATGTTTAATTAGGTTCTTAAAACTACATTAACTACAATCTTAACTTCAACTCAATCAATTGTGTTATCTTTATAGATTTTTTCCAATTGAATGTACATTTATTATTAGAAACCTTGTTCTAATACATTTGAATATTTAATCCACCAATCATCATACTATACTTATAAATGAGACATTTTTTCTATCATCTCATGCATTTGATACAAAGTTTTAAGCACCTAATGCATTTGAAACCCCCACACATTTTCACCTTCAGAATAATTAATCACACATCATGAAATGTTTTATAACTTATATAATATGTTTAATAAGCAATTAATGATAGTCTACTATAAAAATATCAATATCTTTGAGTAGACATATATATACACATACAAAATTCACAAAGAAAACAAGTTTAAAGGTTTTGTGTTGGTTTGAGGGCTTTTGACCATTATTCGAGCTATGTTATTATATTAAAGTTTTTAATTTGTAAGTTTCTTATATACTAATTCTTTTTTTATTTTTTATTTTTCTTGGTTTAAGTATACTTTTAAGACAATCATTGTATGTTGTGGTTGAAACTTTAATGTAAATAAGATTATATTCATGTTATTAATCATATGTTATGGAAAGTGATATAAATAACATTTAATTAAACATTGTATATATGTTTGTATGTTTGTGTTGCTTCAAAGTAATAATTAATTAAAAATCATGAATATATAAAATTATCCATAGTATCCATGTAAGTCTCTTTAAAATTAAAAATTGTCTATCTTATCACTTTATATTTTAGTATATGTTTAACAATTGTCTTTTAAAAGTTTTCTTTCATTTATTAATAATAATAAGTGATTTTAATATTAATGAACAATAATTATAAATAATAAAATCCAATTATAGAAATCATGGATATATCATATTATCTATCCAAGTATCTTTTGAATGCAAATTGTATATCTTACCAATTTATTATTTAATGTATGTTTCACATTTTAATAGTAATATTAAGTGTTTCTTAAAAGTCGTATTTAACTTATTAATAATAATAATAAGTGGTTTAAAACTAAAGAACAATAATTTTAAATAATAATAACATCAATTTATTAAATACATAATGTTAGCAACAAATAAATTGTATTTTAAATAAACATCATTATTGAAATTAAAAAATAATCGCATAAGTAAAAATTTTAATTAATCAATCATAACAATTGTTAAAAATAATATTAAATATATAATTATATGTAATTTTATTAATGAGGAATGTGAGTTAATATCAGTGGATAAAATATTGTTCAAAATATTATATCAAAATTAATATCAATAACATAACCATTTTAAATATATATTTTTCATTATTTTACCAATATATTTTTTAACCTTTACTACGTATTGAGTGATTTACCATTAGTAAAGCTCCATAATTTAACATTATATTCATGTAGAAAACCCCATTTAATACACTAAAACATCAACACAAATTTGGTAGTAATTAAAAATTTTATACGGTATATTTCAAGTTGCTATATTGCATAAGTTAAATACTACAATATATCTTGTAAAATGGCATGCTAAGTCATATTTTGAAGACATTATCCATATATATGACTTATTGGTACTCTAAATGTTAAGTGTAACGGTGCCACAACAATACTACGTACCACAACGATATTTCTTTCCTAGACATGAACATTTCATACTAAGAAGGGGATACACTAAATCATAAAAACACCAAAACATGGAGATAACTTAGATAATACCTACATACTACAATATATTTTTTTAACTTTTATTTTTCTAACAACAAATTTCCAATATTAAAATCCATAAAAACACTAAAACCTGGATATATATATATATATATATATATATATATATATATATATATATATATATATATATATATATATATATATATATATATATATAAAAGGTTAGGTTCTATGGAAAACAAAAAACCCTAAAAATCATTAAAATGCATAAAAATTTACTTAAATATCACAAAACTTTTTTTTGAATTTTTTTATCAAAAAATCGCAACTTTTAGAACAAAATTGCTGAAAGAAATTTTTGAATTTTTTTTTATAAAAAAAATTGATTTATTATGTTTTTTTTATAAAAAAATTTTGATTTTTTATTTTTTTTCAGCGAAATTGTAAAAAAATACTGCGATTTTTTGATAAAAAAAAATTACAAAAAACAGTTTTGTAATGTCTTGGTATTTTTTTTATACATTTTTTATGATTTTTAGGGTTTTTTTGTTTTCCAAATAATTATTTCTTTTATATATATATATATGGGTAAAGTGAATATACCTAACAACCTTATATAAGCTTAGGTACCTAACCTCATCAAACTACGTCATTTTGCATTAAATTTTCATTGCAATCATCCAAGGTTCTTAAACTTCATCCCTAAACTTGATTTACTTCAAAAAGAATTGGAAATTCATCATTATATTTCTCCTGCATCCTTTCGTTTGTAGCGATAGGATATAAAGCCCATCAGATGGTATTCGATAGAAAGACGTGATGTAAAAGAAAAATATTGGTGAAAGTCCAAAGATTTTGGAAGCAATTAAGTTATGGGGTTGAAGTTTAAGAACCTTAGGCAATTACAATATAAATATCATACAAACCGATGTGGTATTATGGAGTTAGGTACCTAAGCTTATATAAGGTTGTTAGGTATATTCACTTTTCCCTATATATATATATATATATATATATATATATATATATATATATATATATATATATATATATATAATTTAATTGTACTCCAAACGTTAAAGCCAAATGGGTAACGAAACCATTAGAAACAATACTTTTGATGTCGTGGACGTTCAAAACCCAAAAGAGGATCAACTTGGCATTATACCCTTCATGCAAAATTACACCAAAACAAGGGGATAAATTTGTAATTTACCCATCTAATTATTAGATTTACTTCAGGTTAAAATTAGATGGCACAATTTATGTTTGTAATATTCATTCATTACGAACATATTTACATGTATTCTGATAACAACACAAGATTATCCGTATAAGATACCGGGACCACCAGATACTTGCTTTTCTCCGCCGCGTGTATATATAAACCCCCAAAGGGATCCTCCCTCCACACCATTTCCTTCACGGCGGCGTTGCATTCCCCTCCTTCCTCCACCTGAAATCTCGTCGCCGACTAATATTCAACGGAGAACTCAACCATGTCTCTCTTCCCAACATCTCTCCAACAATGCCCCATCATCGGTGGTGGTTTCACTCAATCGTCATTTCTTTCTTCTACTAAAGTTTCCGTCAAATTCCATATCTCATGTTGCACCCTCCCATCTCCGATGACCCATGTTAACGGAAATGCTGATACGACATCTACCGAGAGGAGTGAGATTAGGCTAGGTTTGCCGAGTAAAGGTCGAATGGCAACTGATACGCTGAATCTCCTTAACGTATACTCTCAATCTCTTCATAAATTATGTTTTTTTTTTTTTTTTGGATTTAGTGTTTTTTCTGTCTGCATGTAAGTTTTTTTGTGTTTTTTTTTGCAGAACTGTCAATTACCCGTGAGACATCCAAACCCTAGGCAATACGTAGCTGCTATAACTCAGGTTACAATGTCTATTGAAGCTTGCATTAGTACAATCTAGTTAATTTTCTTCAAGAACTTTTCGATTTAAATAATTTTACAATGTCGATTTGCAGCTCGCAAATTTAGAGGTCTGGTTTCAGCGTCCAAAAGACATTGTACGAAAGCTGGTTTCAGGAGATCTAGACATCGGCATTGTTGGTCTTGACACAGTAAGCGAATATGGAGAGGTATATATATAACACACTGTAACCTTAAAAGGAACAACATGCAGCCTATTTTCTTTATTTATTTCTGTTTAACTATGTGATACATCTAATTTTGCACTTGTTCTGGACAGTTTTAATTGATACTTAAAAAACAATTTTAAATGAACTACCTTCAGATCTGTAAAATCATTGTAATATAATAGTAATGCATCTGCACAATTCATCATAGCTACTATTTCAGTAGCTTAATTAACATATAAGTCACTAAAATTGTAATATACTATAACTTAATGTTAAAAACACAAACATGCATTTGAAATTTCACATAATCTTGGTTCATTTTTGGACTGTGGAGTTTTTTGCAACTATGAGGTATGGTTAAAGTGGTAGAACGGTATAGATCTATGTCCATATATAGTTTTTTATATATAAAGACCATTCTTTTTTGAAACACATAAACTGTGTATATGACCATTTACCCTCTTGTTTATAACTGATAAATAACAAATGATTTCAAAAACAAATGACTCTTTATTCTAGAACCATTTTAAATTAAAATTCTAAATGACCACATTACAAAAAATAATAATAACAACATGCATGATTAGTAAATGACCACATTACAAAAAATAATAATAACAACATGCATGATTAGTAAATGACCACATTACAAAAAATAATAATAAAATTCTAAATGACCACATTACAAAAAATAATAATAACAACATGCATGATTAGTAACTTAAATTGAACATAATATTGAAAAAGTTTATATAATAATATTTTGTAGATTTATAAAGTAATATTAGTAGGTTGGTAATTCATGAAGAGGACGAAACAATTAACAAATTACCTTGACAAGGAGAAAACATGCAACAAATGAGATCTTCAAAAAATGGAGAAAGTACCTTGAGAAGTAGAAAACATGCAACAAATAAGATCTTCAAAATTTGGAGAGAAACGATACGATACGATATAGGACGTTAAGTTGTGTTATAGATTTGAAATTTAGGGTAAAGGGTAGTCGAGTTAAGAAGACAACCTTTCCCAATTGGCTCATTAAGCCAAGTTTTATTTATTAAGTAAAAAAAGAAACACTCATATATGATCGGATCTTCACATATTATGCTCATTATGTAAAAAAGAAACACTAAAGTGACCCCAAGTAAAAAAGGAACACATAGTTACTACATGCAATCTCTGATTAATAAATGTATCTTAAGGTCTAAGTGTTTTGATTGTTTTACAGGGTAATGAAGATCTAATCGTTGTTCATGATGCACTCGCATACGGAGAATGCCGTTTATCTCTTGCTGTAAGTCGGCTTTTCTATATATAATAAAGTGCCTTAATAACATTAACTGATCATTTAAATTTCAAAACTATAATTTTTGACATCTTTTCTTCATTTTTTAGGTTCCAAAACATGGGATCTTCAAGGACATCAATTCTATTGAGGAGCTAGCACAAATGCCTAATTGGACTGCTGAGAAGCCTCTACGAGTTGCTACTGGTTTTACTCATGTAATACTGAAGTTGTCTTTTTAGTAGTTTCACCTAGTTAAAAGTTCAAGTTGTTATTTGCATTAATTAATTGTTATTTTTTTTTTCTCTTGGCAGTTAAGTCCAAAATTTCTGAAAGAAAATGGTATTCACCATGTCTCCTTTTCAACTGCTGATGGAGCACTGGAGGCAGCTCCTGCCGTGAGTCTTCCTAACTCTGACTTCTGTCAAGGGTTACTCCCATGGATTTAGGGTTAATTGGAAGAAATCATAAAGAAGCTTGGCTGATTTGGTTATTATAGTATCCTACTTTCATTCCTTCTTATTACAACATTGTACTTTGAAAATTTTACCCACTTATAGCAATGTCATCCAAAGACAAAGCAATTTTCACATGCATAACACTGGGTAGATGTTTCAAAGTATCATGTCCTACTAAAAAAAAGTTAAAGTGTAATCATGTTATAATTGGGTAAATTTTTTAAAGTAATGCTTTAACATGAAAAAAAAGATTGAAAAAAACATGTATATATTAAATTTGACCTTCTTTTGCGTTAATTCGGTTCTTGAAGTTAAAAAACCATGAAAAAAATGAAAATATAATGATGTAATAGAAGGAAATGAATGTAGGCTGCTATAGTACACATTGTATTGTTCTAATGTCCATGCATTTTCATTTGCTTAGATGGGAATTTCGGATGTCATTGTGGATCTTGTTAGTAGTGGAACCACATTGAAGGAAAACAACATGAAAGAAATTGAAGGGGGGGTGCTATTAAGAAGTCAGGTGAAGTTTTCACTCCAAAATTATAAGCTTTTCATATCTTTTTGAATTTTCTGATTTACCTGAATAACATATTTTTCAGGCGGTTATGGTTGCTAGCAAGAGGTCGTTGCTTCAGCGTAAAGGTTTGCTAGACATAACCCATGAAATGCTTGAAAGATTTGAGGCTCATATAAGCGCGCTTGATCAATATACAGTAAGTATATATGTGTTTGTTTATTGTCTTTTATAATAAATATTTTTGAATTTGAAATTGGTAAGTATTATTTAAATAGTTGAGAATCCTCCCCCCTCCCCCACCATCACCACAATACACATACAAACACACAAATATTGACATTTTAGCTTATATTATAATATAGAAAATTTATGGTGTACAAATTTTAAAATTGCCATTTTTATGTAAGTGAAGAGTATTAACTCAAAAGTGAAAGGTATGGTTTGGTATGATGGAATTGTGTGGTAGAGGTGTTGGAATGGAATAAAAAAAGTGTTTGTTTTTCCTAATGGAATGGAATGTGAATCATATTTGAAGGAATGTGATTCCCTCCATTTTGTTAATTTTGATGACACAATTTTTACTATATATTCACAATATTATTAATTAAATTTGAATTTTAGAAGTAATTAGAAAATATATTTATTGTAATTATTTGGGGTTAATGATCTCATATGATGCTGAAGTTTTTTTGCTTTCAATAAATAAAATCTTATTTTGTTATAATTATATTTATATAAAATATAATTATGTCACTATTCCCTCCATTTTGTTAATTTTGATGACACAATTTTTTCTATATATTCACAATATTAATTAAATTTGAATTTTAGAAGTAATTAGAAAATATATTTTTTAATGTAAGTATTTGGGGTTAATGATCTCATATGATGCTGAATTTTTTTGCTTTTAATAAATAAAATTTTATTTTGCTATAATTATATTATATATATATATATATATATATATATATATATATATATATATATATATATATATATATATATATATATATAATATAATTATGTCACTATTCCATTACCTTGTTTATTACATTACAATTTCAAGATCATCCTTGTTGCATTCCATACAATCAAACAAAGTTTAAATATTCATCCTTCACAAAAAAATGAGTACTTATGATTTTGGGTTGTTTTGGAAAAACCCTAGATTTGAAATCAATGCAATACTCCAGTGTTTTTGAAAAACCCTACTGTTTTACTTTTTTATCTCCTTGTAATTATTGCTTGTGTCTGGAAATTAAACCCTACATTTCCATTTTATGGTAAGTTTCTAAAAATTCATTACTTTTTCCTCCCTAGTAATTATTACTTGAAATCCTTATATACTTATGATTTTGGGTTATCTCTGAAAAACCCTACATTTCCGTTTTTGGCAAGTCTCTAAAACCTGCTTTATTTTTCTTTTTTTTTTATCTCCTTGTAATTGTTACTTGAAATCAGCAACTTTGATTGTGGTCCTCGAATTTTTTTTAACCTTATATATTAAGGGCCATTTGAACCATTAATCAATAGTCAGATACATTATTAGATCATATGACAAATTAAAAGTTGCAATTTTTTTAGATAGAGGTAGCTAGTATTTTTTTGGGGTAGGGAAGTGTACATTGCTACTTTACTTTCCACATGTCCATTAAATATAATACATCTCAGGTAGTGGCTAACATGAGGGGATACAACGAAAAGGAAATAGCTGAGAGACTTCTGACTCTACCATTATTATCTGGCCTTCAGGTAAAATTTTCTCCTCGAATGTTTTAAGTATACTAAATGCAAGAAATACTAATGTACTAATTTCATTATCTATACATTATAGCATCCTACATTCATTTTTTTTTTATTACAACATTGTACTCAATTTTCTTTTTCATATTAAAGCATTGTACTCAGAAAACCAACTGGATTATAGCATTGTACTGTTAAAAATTTTTGTTAGCACATTCTACTTCAGTGAAAATTACTTTTTATTTGGATATTGCTATAATCGGGTGATTTTTCAAAGTACAATGTTGTGACATGAGGAAATAAAAGTAGGATGTGATAATAAACAAATCAATGAAAGTTGCTGCTGATTCTTGCATTAGCTAACAAACTTACAAACAAATGTGTTTTTTGTATATTTTCAGGGTCCAACTATAAGTCCGGTTTTTGGGTACACAAATTATTATGCTATAGTCATTTGTGTACCCAAAAATTTGCTGTACAAATCAGTTCAGCAGCTAAGAGCTGTAAGTAACCCTAATCTTGTTCCACGTATTTTTATATGCATATCTTTTTTATTGTTATGAACAATTATAATTTGATAAAGACATGTTGTCTCCATAAATATTGTTTAAAAGATATTTGAGAAAATAAAGGTCATAAAAAAGTAAAAAGGAAAATTTGTGAAAAGTTTGATCTTAAAGTGAAACTTTGCTTTTCCTTAATTCCTTCATAAGTTTTGTTTTTTGTATCAATTAGTAAAAGGGAGACACTGATACATAGCTTATTGGAAAACTGTGTAGATTGGAGGCAGTGGAGTTTTGGTGTCCCCTTTGACCTACATTTTCGATGAAGAAACTCCAAGATGGCGTAACCTTCTCTTAAAGCTTGAGCTTTAAGTTGAAACAAACACTTACTGTTTGTAATAACATGAGTTGGTTTGTAGGTTTCTGTTGAGGAGTAATTTGCTCATGTTGTATCTTAATAATGTGTTCCCTTCGGGATGTTGTTTGCAGTTTCTTTATCGTGTTATGTACTTTTGGTGCAAAAGTATTGTGTTTCCTTCAAGATGTTGTATCTTTATAAACTTGTTTCCTTCAGGATGTTGTATCTTAATAAAATGTATCCCTTGAGGATGTTTGTAATTTTCTTGTTGGATTCTTTTATAATTTGGAATGTGTCGAATGATTTGGATTTAGATAAATTTTGATTTTGCAGGATTTAAGTGCTATTGTATATATGTTTGGTTGAGATTATAATATATATATGTTACAATCTTGTTTGTTTTGCAAAGAATTTAGATAGTGTATCTATGTTAAGTGACATAAATGACCTTAGATTGTTTTCTTAAAAGTAATTATATACTTTATATTAATAGTTTACAAATAATTATAAAAATGATTTAAACTTTATTTAAATTAAAGTCTAACAATCAAAGCAAACAAAAAAACACATACAACCTACACATGTGTGTATATATATACGATCCAAAATTTTCCTCTTTGCTCTCATCTACAGTCGAGAAAAAGACAGGTTGCATGAAATAAAACAGAGTCTCTCTCTCTCTCTCTCTCTCTCTCTCTCTCTCTCTCACACTAACACATCGATGAAACACTATCATCGCAAAAGAAACAAAACGCAGAAGCAATAACACCTTCCCTCATCACCTTTGTAGCCGGCAAAACAGAAGAAGAAGAAAGAAATAAAACATGCTCACAGGCTTGAAGGCTGAGAAAAAGAGCTTGGATCGTGAGACGTAGAGAGGCAGAAGGCGGACGTGATATATTATATATGTAAGGGCAACAAAGTAAAATACAAATCTGATCTCTATCCCAAAGTATTTGGATTTTAAAAAGATAGGAAATAAGAGGGTTTTAAAATCTGATAAATATGGTATTATTTAATGACTACGGATTTTATAAACCTATCAATCTTGTAAACCAACAGATGCATTTTATATCGTTTTAAATTCCAATCCATTAAAATCTTTTAAAATGCTCTAAAACCAAACATCCCCTGAGTGCGTGGTTAAGTATATGTATTGTAATATAAGGAAACAATCCCTTAAGTTGACACATGAACAAATTCTTTTATTCATAGGTATTTTTAATATGCATCTCCAACTCCACTTTATTTCTTACTATTATTTTGATGTATTGAAATATTATATCTTACTATTATTTTGATGTATTGAAATATTATATCTTACTATTATTTTGATGTATTGAAATATTATAATACCAAATTTGAAGTTATACAATTCTTTCGCATCAAAAAGGTGTACAACTTACAAAATATTATATTACTAATTGAAATATTATGACATTCTTTCACATCAAAATAGTGTTCATGTGTCAAATTTAGTTGGTCAAGTTTTATATATATCCAAGTGTAGTTTATAAAAGATGAATATATATATATATATATATATATATATATATATATATATTATATATATATATATATATATATATATATATATATATATATATATGTATATATATATATCAACTATTGATTTTAATGTTACTGATATTAACAATAGTGCTATGATTAATAAATTTAAATATTATTTGGTTGATCATTTAATTTCGAACACCATGATTATATAAAATATCAACTATTGATTTTAATGTAATATAATATAATTTATAATTTTATGTGGTTATACATTATTATTATTGTTAACTACTTTCAAAATTCTATTATCATTATTAAAGATTTAATTTACATAAAACTTTTAAAAATCACTTATTTTTTTCATTGTCTTTTTATTATATTGAAATTTTATGCCTTGTATGTTATCATATTTTTTTCATTCATTCACACAAATATATATACAAATAGAATTTAAGTTTTTAGACGTGGTTAGTTATTTAAATGAATGACATGAACATTCAATGTCTAGTATTAGTATTATGTGATAATGAATCATTTCTTACATCAAGAAAATTAATGATATGTTATTTATATCATTTTGTATTTTTAGTTACTACTTATTTTTGTATATTTGATTTCATATAGTCTTTATGTGTTTTAGAAATATAAAATTTAATGAATCGATGAAAAGTGATTTGAACATAGGCAATTGGTGAGTGTTTAATGTATTTCATTGTAGGAAAAATGTTTATCCTTATTTAGTAGTATTAACACATCAACAAAATTTTGAAAATATTATATAATTTTTAAATAAGCATAAAATCAAAAGATTACATCAAAAAACTAAAAATCCATCATTATAGTCATAGTTATGATATTTATAAGTGTATATTTATTATCTCCGTCGCATATTTATTGTCTACTTTTAATTTTTAAAGTCTTTACTCTTCAACTTTGATTTTAAATATTTTTGTTTTAAATACATAATACTTGATGCAAAATATATGAATAAAATGTGTTTAAAATGTTTTTTCATTATAAGTTTCGTCAAGTAATACATAACACAAATAAAATATTTAAGATCAAAATTGATAAATAAAGATTTTAAAAATCAAAGATGGACAATAATTATGGTACGGGAGTATTTGTTATTGATTTAGATTAACATATTCATGAAAAGTTTTTGTTTGTTTATGATTCAAAGTACTTGAGAAATACAAATTTTAAGTTGTTATATATACACATCAGTTGTGTTTTTTTGTTATACACTATTTTTAAGTTTATGCTCTTTTTGTTTTGTTATATAAGTTTTGACATTGTAAATAGCTTGCATCTTCCCTTATTTACATAAGTCGTCATCAAAATATGAATCATGCATACTTATATTAATAACAAATGCTTAAAAAATAACAAAAAAAATACAAAGTAATAAGGATATAACTAAAATTTATATTCATTTTTTTGCGATTTTTACATTGATATTGAATAACTCCTCATGTTGTCAAAATTTTCTAATCATATACATTCGAGTAAATATTCATTGATAATATAATTACACTTTTATAATTATATTAGGTACATATATGACGATGGAACCGAATAAAAAAATATAAGATTTTGGAAACTAAGAGAATACATCTTCAATTAAGTGTAGCATATAAATTTAAGGGGTGTTTGGGATATCTTTTGAGAGGACAAAATGACTTTTGGAAAAAGATAATAGAGAAAAGATGTTTGGAAAAAGCTCCTTAAAAGCTTCTTTTGGATTTTTTTAAGAAGGAAAACTGACTTTTTAGAAAAGTCACGGAAACGTGACTTTTTGGAACTTTTCCCAAAAGTTCTTTTGTCCTTGAAAAGATACCCCCATCTTTTTCTTTTGGCTCCAAATATACAACCATAAATATTTTCTTGAAATGTAAATAAAGTATAACGAAAAATATGTGAATATAAATTGAAACCTAGAAAATCATCCAAATACATTTTACGCTTTCAAAAGCTTGATTATCATATTTGCATTACTTCTCTCTACATATTTCATCATTCAAACTCTTTCTTTTATTGTGAGTAACCAAAGATGAAATAATATTCTTATATGGGAGTTTCAAATTAATATGGTTAACGATAGATGATTTATCTTGAATTTTATTGATTTGAATAACCTCTTTATGAGATTTATAAAGATAAAGATTATACATTATATGAATGATTTACAAAATACGTATACATATATGTGTGTGTAATATATATATATATATATATATATATATATATATATATATATATATATGTGTGTGTGTGTGTGTGTGTACACACACAACATCTATGAATATATAACAATTATTAACGGTAAAAATAACAGCTATATTTTCTACTATAAATGACACCATTATCATATTTCTTTCTACCACCAAATAACTTCTCTCACTTTTGAAGGTTATCAAGATCAAAATAATTCATCCAGTTTTAGTTCTCCCAACTATATTAACTATAGCACGTATCATTGTAAAGCTCGATTTTAAAACACTTGAAATTAGTAGGAAAAACGATATTCCATGGATGATAGATGTAAAAATGCATCTTGAGTCCATGAGAATCCTAAATGTTATATATGAATTTAATGAGTGCTCGACACAAGAAAAAACGAAAGCACAAGTATTCCTTCGTAAGCATATTAATGAAATGTTGAGATTTGAATATATAAATATTATTGATACAAGCCTTCTATGGAATTGCTTGAAAGAAAGATTTGATAATTAAAAGAAAGTTATACTTTCAAATGCTAGAGATGAATGAAGAAAACTGAGATTTCAATACTTCAAGAAAGTAAATGAATACAACTCAAATTTGTTCAGAATATATTCACAACTCAAGTATTATGGACATTAAGTTACTGATGATGATATGTTAGAGAAAACTTACTCTACGTTTCATGTAACAAACATTACATTGATGCAACAATATCGATTGCAAAATTTCACAAAATATTTTGAATTAATGCAAGTCAGCTTGTTGCATAACAAAATAATGAGCTCTTGATGAAAAACCATGATATCTCGTCAACAAGCTCAATAGCACTTCCTGAAGCAAATGCTACCAATATTGATGGTTATCGAAACAATACGTGTGGACGAGGATGTGGTTGTGATTGGGGAAGAAGACGTCGCTATTTTTAATTGAAACCAAAGCCATAATCAGAACCATAATTATGGTCGCGGACAAGGTAATAATCGAGGTCATAGCCAGAAAATGAATAATTACCGTTCTCGCAAAGAAACAATGTCTAACCATAAGACAAGGCAAAAGCAAAAAAGGCATGATGTTTGGACATCACAAAAAGTGGATGGTTCATGTTATAGATGTTGCAGCACAAACCATTGGTCAAGGGCCTATCGCACACCTGCACAATTTTCTTAACTTTATCAAGAGTCCATTAAAGAAAAGGGAAAATAAGCAAACCTATTTGATATAGTTTAAATCATCCCACTAACTATTGATGATTTCTGCAATGATATGGAAGACATAAACTAAAGACTTCTGTTGTTTTCATGTAACCTTTTTTTTCATTCTTTTTTTTTTCATGTAATATCTTTCCTACAATAAATGAACTTTCTTCATAATAATTATTATGATTATATTTATAGGCTCATTATTTCTTTCATATGTAAAGTTTAATATGTGTCCAATTGGAGCACAAAATATTAAAGATCTTTGTATAGTAAA